TTTTTTTTTTTTTTTTTTTTTTTGACAGGATCTCACTGTGTAGTTCAGGCTGGCATTGAACTCATGGCAATCCTCCTTCCTCAGCCTCCTAAGTCCTGGATTTCCAGGTGTGCACCATCACACCTTGCTTGATCACCAAATTAACATGCAGGATTTGCTTTATCAAGTTTGTATGTCTGTCCTTAGCTGTTTGGGAACTGTTCCTGGTGCCACATGTAGCCACAGATATGGTAACATTTGCAGGCAAATTGATGCACTTCTACTAAGGACTTTGAAATTTAAATTTCAATCATTTCAAAGGAAGGGTCTAATCTGATACTTCTTCACTCTACTGTTCTGATTTATTACAGAATTAGATAAATACCATTTATAATTTGTACCATTCATAATTTTTAAAAATAGTTGTATAATCAGTGTTTCTCATGACTAAGACTGCAAGTCTGAGCACATTCTGGACCAATTATTTCCTTAAGGTGTGATGATCTCACTACTATTTCCTTTTCAACAGGAAAAAAAAAGTATAAATTCTAACACACTAAGGTGTTAAAGGCTTAATATGTTAGCCTATCCTCCAGAATACCACATTTGAATTTTGAAGGATAGTTTAGCATGATAGTTTTAAAGTGTGATGCTTAACAAAAGTCACCAGTGATTCTGGCCTGGCAGAGTGCTTAGGAAACGGCGGCCTGGGTGACCAGCCATGTCCCTGCCACTGGGCTATTGCTGATTTACCTACTGACCAGCAGTGCCTGTAACTTTTAAAGGTTTGTTTCTGTTAGCAATAATCGCGTCTCGGATTAACTTAATTGGCTATGATACTGTCACTGCGCAAAGTTTAAAGGTTTGTTTCTGAATGTGAAGCCAAGCATCACAAAGCCCAGCACGTACTTGATTTTCATTATTACAACTGGATAGTTTAATTGCCCACTGGTGATGAAAAGTATTCATGTGACGTTGAGACCCACTATAAATAATCATCCCTCTAAAGGTCGCTTTCTCTCACAGCTCTTTTGACATCGTCGTGGTCGGTGGAGGAATCGTGGGGCTCGCCTCCGCCAGAGCGCTCAACCTGCGATATCCTGCGCTTTCAGTCGGTGTTCTCGAAAAGGAGAAAGATTTAGGTACCTGTGCTGTCGGCATTGCTCTTCCGGTTTGCTTGGGCCCCAGCTCATTTCGTCAATTCTAATCCATCAGTCAGTCACGCAAAAGGTTGTTCATATCTTACTAACATCTTTTGGGTTCTCCTGGAAGCACAGCTGGGACAAAGATGTGTGTAGGTGATTTATTTCCCAGGTGATCTGAGGAGGCGGAAGGAGTGAGTGGATGGGAGAAGAGAGGAAGGAGGAAACGCCATGTGAGGGTGTATTTTCAGGGCTGCTGCTGGGAGGTTGATTCCGCTGGGATCTCGGAGCAGTGCAGTGATCCCGGGATTGAACTCAGGTAGCTATCAGCTCCTGTGTCTCTTGGTTGGGAATTGTCCTTACGCGTGGAAGCTCACCCCGAAAAGTTAGAAAAGGCCCTGGGGCAGGGTAGAGAGATCCTAGGGGCCCTTGAAGTGGTTTGCTGGGTAAAGAGAGGTAGTTTAAAAACCAGAGTTGCAGTTGGAGTCGGAGGTGGGCAGGGACGATGTGACCTGGATACTGGGGAAGCTGACCTGGAAGTTCCCAGTGGTCTCAGTAAATTCAGTCAGGCTCTGAGAGCCCCCGCAGTAATCTGTCACCTCCTGGGTTTTGTACAAATCATGTAGTTTCTCTTACCCTGTCTTTCTTGTTCTGTAGCTGTTCACCAAACTGGACATAACAGTGGTGTAATACATAGTGGAATTTATTATAAACCCGAATCTCTGAAGGCTAAACTCTGCGTACAAGGTGCAGCCCTCATCTATGAGTATTGTAACCAAAAGGGGATTTCCTACAAGCAGTGTGGCAAGGTATGGCATTTTACTTGGGCCTTGACTAATATATAACTAGCATTTTTTAAATCCGTTAGTGGGGATTAAACCCAGGGCCTTTCCACTGAGCCACGTCCCTGGCCCTTTTTAATTTTTAATTTTGAGACAGGGTGTCATTAAGTTGCCCAAGCTGAACAGTCCTTTTGCCTCAGTTCCCAGAGTGGTGGGATTACAGGCATGGACTTTCATGGCTGGCTTATAGCTAGCATTTTCTTAGTGATGTTTAATATTGATTTTTTAAAATTTATTTTTTTTGTAGCGGGGATCAAACTCAGGACCTTCTGCTTGGGAGGCAGGCGTGGTGCCACTGAGCTAAATCCCTGCCCAAGGTTGTTTTGTTTTAAGGGGCTTTTTTTTTTTTTTTTTGATTTTTCAATTTTGGTACCAGGAATTAAACCCAGGACCTCACACTTGCCACTGAGCTACATCCCCAGCCTTCATACTGAAGTTTTGAAAGATTCTCATATCTTCTGCTTTTGTATCCACATCATTTGTGAAATCTTTTTTTATTTGGGAACAACAAAAACAAGATGACGTGGGCCAGGGATTTAGCTCAGTGGTTCTGCTGCCTGTTTCATAAGTGCAAGGTCCCGAGTTTGATCCCTGGTACCAAAACAAAACAAGACAAAAACATAATGACATGACTTCATGTAATTTAAAAAATAACAGCTTTATTGATACATAATTTATACTTTTAAAGTGGGTAATTCAGTTTTTAGTATATTCAGAATTCAGTTTCTGGTATATTTGCAAATGTCACCACTATCTAATTTTAGGATTTTTTTAATCACCGAAGAAGGAAATCAGTTAGCAGTCACCCTCCCCCAGTCCCTCTAGCAACTAATATTCTTTGTGGCCTTATGAAGTTTCCTATTTATACACTTTAAATAACTAGAATCATATCAGAACATCTTTCCATGTGGCCTGTTGTGATTGATTTCTTTAACTTAGCATAATGTTTTCAAAGCTCATCCATCTATTAGCATGAATCACTACTTCATTCCTTTTGGTGGTGGAGTAAGATTCCATTGCATGGATATACCACATCAGTTCATTGGTTAATAGACATTTCAGGTTTTTTATATTGTTTTTCCATTATGAATAATACTATGGACATTTGTGTAGAAGTTTTTATGGGAACATATTTTCATCTCTCATCAATATGTACCTAGAAGTGAAATGTTGGATTCTATGGGAACCATCTGTAACATTTTGAAGATCTACAAAACTGTTTTCCAGAATGCTTCATTATGTTATATTTCTCCCAGTAATTAGTAAGGATTCCAATTTCTCCATATTCTTCCTCATCAACACCTGTTATCTTTTTGTATTAGCCATCCTACTAGATATGAAGTTGTAACTCATTTTAAGTTGCATTTGCCTAATGATTAATAATATAGTAATATAGCACATGTTGTCTTTTTAAAGTTATTTATTTTTAACTGAAAAAGAAAAATTATATATCATGTAAAACATACATGTGAATATGTACATGATAGTATGAATATGTAAACAACAATATAGCCATTGTGGAATTACTACATTTAGCTAACAAACTTATGTATTACCTCACATACTTACCTGTTTTATGCTGAAAACGGTTAAAATCTCTTAATAATTTTTAAGGATGCAGTACTCTGGCTGTGTGTAGTGGTGCACAGCTGAATCCCAGCTACTCAGGAGGCCAAGGCAGGTTGCAAGTTTGAAGCTAACCCAACTCTCTTCTCAATGTTTTGTTCTTATCGGTGCTTTTGTGAGAGGAACTGCTTTCCTAATTTTACTTTTGATTTTTTTTTTTTCTTTCAGTACTGGGGATTGAACTCAGGACCTTGAGTTTGCGAGGCAGGTAGCACAACCACTGAGCTAAATCCCCAGCCCTTGATTGTTTATTCTTAATGTGTAGAATGTCCTTAATTTTGTATATTGAGCAGCTTTGCTGCTCATTCAGTAGTTCTGAGTGTGCAAGAGTATGTGGGTGTGGGTGTGTATTTCTTAGGCTTTTCTATATGCAGGATCATGTTATGTACAAAATAAATTAGCTTTGTTTCTTTCTTAATTTGGATGCCTTTATTTATTTTGTTTGCCTAGTTTCCATGGATAGGGTCTCCAACACAGTATTGAGTAGTAGTAAAATGGATATTCTTGAGTTGTTTCTCAGAGAGAAAGCAGTCTTTCACTCTTAAATATGATGCTGACAGTAGCTTTTTTTTTAGATTCCCTTTATCAGATTAAAGAAGTTCCTTCCTATTCCTAATTTGTAGAGTGGTAGGTTTGTTGTTACTCTGTTCCATTTTATTTTTAATATTAATTTTATTGGTCCAATTTAAATATATATAATGATCACATTCATCACATTTGTTTTTTTCTGAATCCCTTCCCCACTTCCCCTCATTTACAAAGGCTTTGTTTCCATTTTTCTTTCTTTTCTCTCTTTTATTTTCTCTTCCTTCTTTTCCCCCTCACCTTCCCTAGTTCCCCTTTCCCTTTGAATAATTTCTTCCTATTTCATATTACCTATTATTCATTTTTGTCCTTAATTATACTTTCAGTTTCTCATATCAGAGAGACAACACAATATTTACACATGTGTGTAATGTATTTCACTTAAGAGTGTAGTCTCAAGGTGCCTCCATTTAGCTATAAATATCTCAAGTTTATCCTTCTTTATGGCTGAGTAGTACTCCGTTGTATTAAAAACCCCATCTTTTTTATCCATTCATTGATTGATAAGGCATTTGAATTTTTTCAAGATTTAGTTATTACAAACTGTTGCTGTAAACATGAGTGCACATATATTGCTGTGGTATGATGCTTATAATTCTTTCGGAAAGATACCCAAAAGGGGACTAGCTGGGTCAAACGGGACCTCTAATCCTAGTTTCCTCAGGAATCTTCACACTGATTTCCACAGTTGTTGCACCACTCTGCACTCCCACCAACAATGGAGCAGGGTTCCTTTCTCCCCACAACCCCACCAGCATTTGTTATTGGTTGATTTCATGATAACAGCCATGCTTTCTGGAGTGAGGTAGAATCTCAGCATTAAGATTTTGGATTTTCTCTTTTTCTGTTCCTGTTGAGGTGATCTTGTGGTGTTTTTCCTTTATTCTACTAGCATGTGCATTATATTAATTTGCTTTTACTGTTAAATTGATCATGCCTTCCTGTGATGAATGACAGTTGGTCATCACATGTTATCCTTTTTATATATACTGTTACATTCAGCTTTAATATTTTGCTCATGATTTCCACATCAGTATTTCTAAGGGAGGGTGGGGAGTGTTGCTTAGTAGTAGAATGCGTGTGTAGCATGTGCAAGGCCCTGGTACCTGTGTCTGTGTGTTAATTTATAAGAAATTTTAGTCTGAAGTTTCTTGTTTTTGACTGGGTTTGGTATTCGACTTATATTGGCCTCACAGAATTAGTTGAGTTTATATGAATGGATATTCTTTTTTAAACATTTGGTAGCATTCATGGTAAAGCTTCTGATGCCTGGGATTTTCTTCATGGACCATTTTCAAGCTCTTTGTTTTAGGTCTATTCAGATTTTCTTTTTGATTCAGATTCAGAGTTTGTGTCTTTCTAAGAATTTTTTCATGTCACGTAGGTTATTTTAATTATTAGCATAGTCATTTATACTAGTCCCTTAAAAGCCTTATTTTTATACGGTTGGTAAATATGTCTGTTCTCCATATTATTTTTAAGAATAAAAGCTCATGGCCCAGAGATTTAGCTGCCGCCTGCCTCGCAAGCCCGAGGTCCTGAGTTTGATCCCTGGTACCAAAAAAAAAAAAAGAATAAAAGCTCATTGTCATCATTAAAGATACTTTAAAAATTGTTTTAGTAATGCAGGAAGATGGTCCTGACAAAATACTAGTGAAAAAAGGCACAATGTAAAATTGTACAGTTTTTGTTTTTGAGTTTTAAGAGTTCTATCTGGGCGAGTTGATGCAAGCCTGTAATCCCAGCATTCAGGAAGATCGTTGTGAGTTTGAGGTGAGCCTGGGCTGCATAGGGAGACCCTGTCTCAAAAAAAAAAAAAAAGTTATATATAATTCATATACTACACCTTATCATCTTTATAATTTACAGATATTTTCTTCCATTCTGTGAACTATTTATTTGCTTTCTTTCTTTCTTTCTTCTTCTTCTCCTCCTCCTTTTTTTTTTTTTTTTTTTTTTTTTTTTTTCTT